AAAAGAGCTACAGGGAAGAATCTCGTTTCCATCTCTATCCCGACTCTGCAGTCCTTCCTCCACCCTAACATTCCCGGTAATAACCATGTTTATTCGTTTCTTGCATATCCTTCCAGGATCTCTTTATGCAAATACAAATATATATTCTTATGTTTTCCTTTGTGGAGATTTAGGAAGTCACACAAGCTGTCTCTCTACCTATGACCCAGCAATTCCACTTCTAGGTAGTCTTCCAAGAGAAATGGGAACATGGCACCCACACAAAGACAAAGTACCTGAATGTTCATAGTAGCCAAAACCTGGAAACAACCCAAACGGCAAGTGGATGAACGAATTGTAGCCTGTCTATACAATAAAACGCTATTCGGCAATCAAAAGGAGTAAGCTGCTGGTACGTGCAGCAACAAGAGGAACCTCAAATGCCGAGCCAAAGAAGCCAGACTCTACAAAATACACAAACAAAAAATGCTGAATGATTCCCCTTACATGACATTTTAGAACAGACAAAATTAATCTTTAGTGACATAAAGCAGATCAGGGGCTGCCTGAGGCTGGATTCGGGGAATTTTCTGGGTGATGGAAATATTCTATATCTAGAGTGTGCTGGTGATGACAAGCGTGTACACATTTGTCCAATTCCATTGAACAAATACCCTTAAAGAGAGTGCATTTCACTGTATATAAATTGTAGCTCAATAAAATTGACTTTACAGGTTAGAGAAAAAGAAACAGGCACCAGGCCCTGTCTCAGATCCATTGAGACAGAATTTCCAGGAGTGGGGAGGTCCTGCTGTACAGTGGGTGCAGGTGACCCCTTGCCCTCTGCTCCAAGTTCCCCTGGGCTCTGAGGTCTGAGCCCATCTTTCCAGCCCAGCTTCAGGGAGCTGCCCAGGCCAGGAGCAGCCCCACCTTGAGTTTCTGAGAAGTCCCTGCAGTGTCCCAAAGGAGGAGCTCACAGGAGCAAGGTCAAGGCAGGCAGCCTGTGGGGCAAAAGGGAACCCGGCTGGGTGTGGGGACCCAGGTAGAGATGGGGGTGCAGGGAGGGGCCCTTATGGAGGGCCCTTCCCAGCCTGACCGTGCCACCACCACCTCTTTGACCCCTAGTGTTCCAGGTGAGACTAAGAGGCTCCACCTCGCCATGCCAAGGCCAGCTGGAGGTCCAATTCCAAGATATGTGGCACACGGTTGACAGCCGGAGTTGGGTCCACCAGGAAAACCTCAGGCAGGCCTCCAATCTCTGCAAGAAGCTGAACTGCGGGGAGGCCTTGATCCTCGCCCACTTCCCTCGCTTCAACAATCCCCAGAACCAGGTCACCTGCTACGGACAACTGGGGTCCTTCTACCACTGCAATGCCAGCAAGACAAACCAGAGGGAGCCTCTGGGCCTGATCTGCGTAGGTGGGTAATTCGCCGGCCACACGGGTTCCTGTGGCCTGGGCACCAGCCCTGAGGAGGCTGCCCAGGGTCTGTGACCTGGGGCCTGAGCAGCAAGTGGAAGGGGATCCCTGATTTACAACTACATTTCCCCAAAACATACACCAGTGGGGAACTGGAGGGGAAGGTGGAGGGGGTGCTGGCGCTCGCCTGGTAGGCTGGAAAGGGTCAAGGACCTAGTTCTGCCAACTTCATTGTCCCCTCTTAACCTCATGTTCCCAACTGTAAAATGGCTGGTACTGCCCACCTCACAGGAGGCTTAGAGACAATGTGTGGGCCAAGTGGGCTTCATGGGGCGAGTGGTACTTACATCATGAGTTCCAGGTCCTTCTCAACACTGCCAGTTGCCCCCAGCCCTCTCCGCACCCCCATTCTTCCCTTCTCCCCACTCCCTCCTCCCTCCCGGGGTCCCTTGCCCCTTCCTCACCAGACTGTCTCATTGCAGAGCCACCGAAGACGACCCCCCCTCCCACAAGCCCACAGCCCACAACCACGATGGAGCCCACAGGTAAGAAGGTTCTGAGGCCTCCTGGGAATAGCATGTGGGATTTAGCGATTAAAAACACAGGATGCCCACTTACAATTGAATTTCAGGGAAACATGAAAAGTTTTAGTGGAAGTTTGTCCCATGCAATATTTGGGACCTCACCACTTCCCAGGGCCATCGGCCAGTCATTCATGTGCCCGTATGTTGGAGCCAAAGATCCGGGAGCAAGAAGGTTCCCCACCGCAGACTATCTGCGCTCAGACCCACACCCCTATCCTCTCTCTCTCCCCAGCTCCTCCTAGGCTTCAGCTGGTGCCAGGGCCCGGGGGCCTGTGGTGTGCAGGCACTGTGGAGTTCTACCATGGCAGCCAGGGTGGCACCATCAGCTACAAGGAGGAGGACAGGACCCAGGACCTGGGGGACCGCATCTGTGCGGCCCTCCAGTGTGGTTCCTTTCTGAAGTACCTGCCGGAGGCCGAGGCAGCCAGGACACAAGCCCCAGGGGAGAGCAAGCCCTTGCCAATCCAATGGACGGTCCAGAACGCAAGCTGTGCCACCCTGGAGCAATGCTTCAGAAAAGTCCAATCCTGGGAAGGCGGCCAAACTCTTGCCCTCATCTGTTCTGGTGAGTGAGACTGGGCCAAGACCCATGGGTGCCCCTGACGGTCAGTCACCACAAAACCCCTGTGGAGCGTGGGCACCAGGCACTGTGGAGAACAGGATGGATGTAGGGGGTTGATGATTGGCCTCTGAGCGGCAGGCAGGGTGGGGTGCGGAGGCTGCACTCACACCTCCTACCGCGAGAATCTCTACAAAGCAACTCGAACAAGCCCCAGTGCACCTCTGGCTCGCCTGCCACATGGCCATGTGGGATCAGCAGGACTTCCAGGAGGAGGCAAGGTCTGCTAGTGGGTTGTGAAGGAGGAGAGGGGCGTGGGTTCCGTGGGGCAAAGGAGAGAAGGTTTCTAGGTGGGAATCGTGGCTTGTGCCCAGGACCCGAGCAGCATGGAGCACTTGCGGG